AAAACAAAATTTTCAGAATTTTATACAAATTGTGAATTTTATTGAAAAAAGACCAGCGTAAAAGTAAAGTAAAAAGACTTGTCCATAATTTAAAATAATATAAAATCAGAAATCCCAATCAAAATTTCAATTACTTCCCTTTATGTGGACATTGTCGATCTTTTGGAGAACTCTTACAGAAATCCTTACATTCTTGTCCATATGGATTAAGTTGACATGGGGTCTTTGAATGCTCACTTCTTTGAACAGGCCCTCTTTGACATAAATTATTTCCAGATAAAAATAATAAAGAAAATATTATTAAATAAATTAATTTAAAAAACATTTTCTTTTTTGGAATTTTATTTAAAAAAATTTTTTTAAGAAGGGGGAAATTTTAATTGTTTAAATACGGATAGAAAATACCCCTATATTATTTATTCAACTCTAATATTTTATCTATTGAAAAATTTTTTATATGAGAGTGTATTTCTTGGATCACTTTGGCTCGGATACTTTGAAGTCGGAAGAACTTTTTCTTTTACAATTCATCTATGTATGGAGGGTTTATATTTATTTAATTAATTGTTGAATATGTGGAAAATGTATATATTCAATTTATATTTTATTTGGCAATTATTGAATTTCCACGTTTCGAAAAAAAAATTTTTTTTAATTTATTATTAGCAAAATTGATTTAATTTAATAGAATTAATTTTATTTTATTGCCTAGTGGCGGGAATTTAGTTAAGAAAAAATATTTTTATTAATATTTCTTTAGATAAAATTGTTAGTTATTCCACTTCAATTAATTTTACATACATATTAAATAAAATTTTCAAAAAATATTTAAGTAAATTAGTATCAATATTTTTTTATTCAATAATTAAATCGTTGTTCAATTAAATTTCTCAAAGATTTGTGTTTACAACTTTTTGCACTTATAGCATCACTTATATCAAGCAAAACACCTTGGAAACGAACTTCGATAAAAACGGTTGGGGATATATTGTCGTTTGGACATTTTAGACGATAACCGATATGTTGACCCTTGAAATTATTTTTGAAAATTTTTTGAAACTTTAGATACCTGCTCTATATTCTGACGCCCTAAAGGTAGAGATTCAAGAAAGCGAGCATTGTAAATTCTAACTTCATAATCTAAAAATTAAAATAAGCATAGAAATAAGTAGTATTTTGTTAATTGTGTTGGAGTAAGTTGTGTAAGGGATAAATGAGGGGGAATTTAGGGGAAATGACCTTTGATGAATTCCAGGAATCAAGAAGTGGAACTATTTTTTGGAAACAATATCTTTGGGGCAATTAAAATAAGAGGGAGACCTTAAATTACAAAATTTATTTTTGTCTATTTATTATAATAAATTTATTCTCTTAGGGTCGTTCAAAGTGGACTAGGTTAAAAAATCCTCGTTATTGTGTAAAAATTATTCAGGATATCTCGATCTATCCCCAATTCTGTAAGCTAAAAATATATTTTTTTTAATTTTCAATTTTTAATTTTTACCATTCCACTTTCCAGCCCCAACAATAAATATTCCTTCATTAGTACAGCCAGTATAAGTCTGTGCCCCAGGTTCACTATTAACTCTAATTCTTCCAACCAATTCCCCTTCTATAGGTGAATATATTTTTGGAGTTCCCCATTCTTCATTTAAATTATTATTTTCTTCTTTTTTCTTCTCTTCCTCTTCTTCTGGAGAATTTTCTTCTTCAATTTGTTGAATATCTGGACATTTAATTTCCCATCCTCTAACACCGTTAAAACGACTTTTTTGAGAAAAATTGGAATTTTTTTGAAAATTTCTTTGTTTACCTGTCAAATTTAAATGACGGTCCTTCCAAAGCATTAATTCTGTTTGTCTCACAGACTTGATTTATACACATGCCTTTATAAAAACATTTTTATTCAGATAAGAGCTAAAGAAAAGCCTGTCCCTTCGGCTATATATGAGATATGTTCCGACTTTTCCATCTCTTTTTACCATTCAGAACCAAAATTTGTTTTTTTGAGATTTTTTGAGACCGAGAGATCAACAAGAAAAATTTGAGTGATATTTTAATAGATATCTCATGAATAGGGATGGGATTTATATGGACTATCAATCGAAAAATATGGACATATAATATGGACTAAAAATCTCAAAATATGGACTGAAATATGGACTAAAATCCAAAATATGGATAAAATATGGGCCGAAAACTGAAAATTTTTAACGGAAAAATTTCAATTTTTAAGCAGAAAATGTTAAATAAGTTAATTTTGATGCAAATTATTACAAATAAACCAATTAATAGTGATTATTTTGTTTCTAAAAATATTTTGGATAATATTTGAGTCGAAAATTTTTTGTCAAAATTTTTATAAAAAAATTTTCAAAAATTTTTCGAAAAAATTTTTTCAAAAAAGTTTTTCGTAAAAATTTTTGACCAAAAATTTCTTAAATTTGAAAATTTTAACCAATTTTTGGCAAAATTTTACAAAAAATGACGAAATATGGATAAAATATGGAAAATATGAACGTAACGCCTAAATATGAAAAAATATGGAAAATATGGATTGATAACTCAAAAACGGCCTTATCACCATATGCTAAAAACATGTTTTTTGGCGTTTCAGAACCCAACGAGTTCAGGAAAAAAATATGGAAATCCATATAAATCCCATCCCTACTCATGAACCCAAACAGCCTTATGAGGAATCTTTTCAAAATCAAGTGACAGCTCCCCTAATAATCCCGAGTCAGTCTCGATTATTAAAAAACAAACAATCAATTAAATGATGTGTTGGATCAATTGGACGTCCTTCTTTGTGTAAATAAACTCTGACAAAATTTTCTTCTTTTCGAGGACGTTTATGCATCTTCTGTTTATTTAATTTCAATTCACATTCAATATCCAAAGATACACCAATTTTCTGTCCAGCATGAACATGCCCACTATAGCGGAATAAACGAACAGAGCCAATTAAAACGTGATAACCTTTTTTTAATTTTGAATAATTAGTAGAAATATTTTTAGAGATTTATTTATACAGGATTCCTTCAAAAAATATCATTTTTGAAAAAATATCGCCAAATATATGTATACATATGGTCAAAACCGGTGACTGACCAATAAACAATCACTGGTAATGTTATATCAATTAATTGTTTATTCAAAGTTAATTGTTTATTATTGCCAAGTAATTTTTCATAGTTACCAATTAATTACTATCAGTTAATTGTTCGTTAGTTACTTGTTTTAACCAATTAATCGTTGATACTATTTTTCAAAAATTAGCCTTTTTAATGGTATTTTGTCTTTTTTAGCTTGCGATGGCATTTTATAGGGACATCAATTGTCCTGAAGCGGGCAGAGTTTTGTTCTTTGCTTCTTGACTGTATGTATGTATTAGAGATAGAGTAAATTAGAATTAGTTAAAATAAATAAAACGATATTTAGTTTGATTTTACGCCTCATGAAATATTTTCGAAGTAAATAATTGGCGGTTACATAATTAACCCAAAATTACTGATCCTTGCGAACTACCTGCCGCCGTTTCCTGTTAGGAGGGGGAGTAGTCTCAAGACTGCAACCCTCAGAAGCGTTACACTGAGGTGTTGGGGGAGGGAATGAGGGGTCTTCCCGCGGGGTGTTTGTATATTACGATTTGAGGAAAGTTTTGTGATTGTGAGGGTAATCACAAACTCTTGACTCGAAGATGACTAGTATGCAATGCTCTATTTCTGCCCTGCAGTTGTATTCGGATGGAGGGCTGGGTTTCTCTTATGAGGGTTCGCTAACTTTTTTTCTTCTTCTGTTTTAACTTTTCAAAATTCATCAACTACCTAAGAAAGTATTTTTTCAATTTTTAATTCAGGAAATTCAACAGAAAAATTAATCTCCTCATACCCTGCCATTGTCCTTTTCCATCAATTCTAACTCCTCGGTCAGGTTTACATCCATCTGTATTCTTTTTATTTTCATCCGTTCTAATTTCATCTTGCCCATTTCCATCAAAAGGTCTCCAAGCAGAAATTTCCCCTTCAAAAGGAGAATAAACAAAACTTCCTTCTCTACAACTTAAATCAACAGCTTCAACAATTTGATCATTTCGTCTTTAAAAAATAAAAAAATTATCAGTAGAAGCTTGTCAAAGTATAATCCCAATTATCCAGCTAGTAAATTTGATGGTATCGTGTTGGCAGACTCCCCACCCAGTGGCCAGATGTTTAAAAATTTTAAGAGATGAAGTGTTAAGCGAGTAGCTTATAATTAGTGTTAGGCACGGTTTGGTACTACCGCGGTACTACCGCCAGACCGGATTTCTTCAAGAGAATGTTCATTGTAAAATTAAAATCTCTCCACACCTCAAAGCTTTATATTCCCCACTAATTCCATCAGAACCAATACCGATTATTCGGTTTACAGGGTGTCGAGAATCGGTGTCCGCAGAACATATAGTCTTCATACAAAATCCATTAACTAAAGGAATTTTGGAAATTTAAATTAAAAAAAATTTAAACCTTTATTTAAAGAAATTAAGGTAAATAAAAATAATTTAAAATAAAATAAATAAAACATTTAAAAAATATTTTTTATTGATTAAGGTAAAAGTAAAAAAATAATAATAATGTAAATGTCTCAATATTGTTATCAATTTTTAAATGTCCAAAACGTTATCAAGGTCAAATAATTATTTTATTAAATAAACAACCCTCTTTTCCTTTTAATAATACATACATAAATATGGCTAAAAAATAATTTTAGCAAAAATACTTTTGAGGAAAAAAAACGGAGGAAAAATGTTTAAAAATTTAAATATTTAATTTTCCGCGAAATGAATACGGTAATTTCTAATAAAGCAGGCGACAAAAGAGACGTTAATTAATCTTGGCGACAAAAAGTCTTGGTCATTCGAGTCTCAAAAAATAAAAGTACAATTGTGCTTTAATAAATACAATTGTACTTTTATCATTTTTTTCTTTGCTTTGTTTCTTACTTTTTTTTAATTTTTTAAATTTCAGAGGATGCTTTAATTTTTTTCTACAGAAAAATGCCTATCGAAGAAATGCAAAGACAACAATCTTTCGTTATACCTGTAAATGAAGACCAAAAGAAAGCTTTATTATTTGCTTTTTACAATACTTTACTTTTTTCTTTGGTATTTTTTTTGAATTTAAGTTCAATCCATTCTCGAATCTAAAAAGGGCAGGTTTGTTCCTATGTTGGCTCTCATGCTGGCCTCCGTTCCCTTTTAAAAATGTTTTTAATTAATCTTTTCCTCTAAAAATAAATTTACCTACAGACTAGAGTTGGGCGGGATCGTGCGGGATCATCCCGATTTTTAATGATCCTGAGCCTGGCTCGAGACTGGGATAGGGATCATTGTTCCAAAACCCTATTTCAGATATGGAATTTCTCAAATAACAATTTTCCGGCTATCTTACTTCCCCTCCTTCCCTTTTCCCACAATTTAGCTTCATTTTTAGTTGCAGTATCAGTTTTATTACAAAAAATTTTTTTAAGCTTGGATTAGTCTTGGCATGTGCTTTTGCTGTTTATCAAATGTTAAGGATATAGTGTAGTGTACCGGTGGTAAAAGTTCGGGACGTGACATATGTCATTCGATTCGTCTCGACGAGCTGAGTCGAACGGTACCACTCTTAATTTTAGGAAATGATTCTGGGCCGAGTTATAGGTCCCGAAAAATTGAAAAACCATAGGGGGGACCAAGCACTTTTTTGGGGTGAAAAATTCGAATATGCAAATAATAGCTCATTCGAAAGAGCTCGTCGAGCTGAGTCGAACGACACCAAAATCAGCTTGATTGAACAAGTTGGAGTCGAGATAAAGGGCTCAAAATGGTCAAAAACCATAGGGCGAATTTTAGGGCCAAAAATTCGAAAAAGCATATAATAGCTCATTCGAAAGAGCTCGTCGAGCTGAGTCGAAAGACACCAAAATCAGCTTGATTGTAAAAGTTTGGACAAAGTTACAATTGAAAAACAAACAACATAAACCTATGGGGCGTCGGCGAGGCGCTTGTGCAAAACCCCGCGCTTCGCGCGGGGTTTTGCGGCACGCGCCTCGCGGGGAGTCTACGGGCGCTGGGTCTGGGTCAGTAACATAAACCTAGTCCCATCTCCCTTGCTCTGGATGTATTTGGGGCTCCAGTAGCAGCAAAAACCTCCACGGGCGCCATAGGTAAGGAGCTAAAACAAACGGTCATAACTTTGTCAAATCAAGTCAGATTTCGTTGATTTTGGTGTCATTCGACTCAGCTCGCCGAGCTCTTTCGAATGAGCTATTATTTGCATATTCGAATTTTTCACCCCAAAATCGAGCTTACTCCCCCCTTTGGTTTTTCAATTTTTCGGGACCCATAACTCGGTCCAGAATCATTTCCTAAAGTAGGGAGTAGTACCGTTCGACTCAGCTCGTCGAGACGAATCGAATGACATATGTCACGTTCCGAACTTTTACCACCGGTACACTACACTACAGCCAATGTTAAATATGTTTTTGACTCCAATAATGTGGGCTTCTCTAATTGGGACAATTCTTTTTCCAATAAAAAGATTAATAAGTGCAGAATTGAATAATTGGTTGAAAAATTTGGATGAAATGGACAGACCTTTAATTGTTGGATTGGCTTTGTTGCCTCTACAAAGTTTAATGTTTTGGGCTAATTATATTTATGAAATTGCTTTTAGGTAATTTTTAGAAATTTTTTTAGAGAGATATTAAAAATATTTATTTTTGCGGACAATATTTGCGGACAAATTATTTTCTTTTTATCTTTCGAGTTCAAAATTTTTCTTTGATTTAATAGGGCATTTCTAATTTGGGCAATTTTTTTCCTATTCAAAATATTATGAAAACAAACTATTAAATTATCCGATAGTCAAGAAATTTTATCCGCAAATATATTCTTTCGAACCAAATAAAAATTTAAATTTTTGGGAATAACTCCTTTGAGGGTTTAAAAAAATTATAGAATGCTTATCGTTTTGTAGCCTTAATTTTTATAAAAATTTTTCAAAATTTTTTTCTACTCGGCTGTGGTTTTATGAAAAATCAATTCACACAAAAATCAATTTTCTTTATGGGAATTAATTTCTTTAGACAAATAAAAATTATTTTTCACCCAAAAATTATTTTTTAAAGCTTTACCGGCATTTGTATTGGAATTGGCTATGTTAGTCTAAAATTGTTATGCCACTACGATGCTTTTACAATTTTACTTAATCGTTTTGGAATTTTTTGTTCTTTAATTGATAAATTAATTGGGTTATTTACTCTTTGGCAGGTTTTTTAATTTAAATTTTAAGTTTTTTTTAATTTCTTTAAAATTTTTTTCAATTTATTTTTAGACTTTTTTGGTAATTTTTCTTTACACTGTAGCCTTCGGGGCTTGGATTTACTCGCTTGAATTGGAAAATATTAATAAAAAATTGGCTAGAGTCCTTTCAGTTCCCATATGGTTTGATTTAAATTTTTATAAATTTATAGGAAAATTTATTTTGAAGATTATTTTTAAAGATGGAGAATTATAAGGCATTTTAAATGAAATTTTTAGACTTGTGGTCCTTTTCGCTATTAGTGAGGATTAAGGCTGTCGGATTCACCAGTTAACCGAACCGACAACCCGAACCGAAAATCTTGTGTTCGGGTTGAAGCCGACAACCCTAATGAGGACCCCTTTTGAAGTACTTTTTCTTGAAAAGACTCAAAATAAGATTAGTTCTTTCAGGCCACCCTCTACTTTTTTAAACCTTTCGCTATAGAATAGCCAGAAAACTTGATCCCATAATTATTTTTAACATTCAACTTTTTATTTTTTAAAGGTTTTTACTTGTTTCACATTTTTCTAATTTATTTGGCCCTTTGAGAGTTATTATATTCTCTATTTGTTGTGTCCTTTTGGCATTTATATCTGCTGGAATTATTGGTGCTGATGAAGAAATTAGTGAAGATATTGATGAAACAAAAAAGGAAAAAGAAATAAATGAAAATTTGAAAGCAAAGGAAGCATTGGCTGAAGAAGTTAATACAGCTATACAATTTGAACAATTTAATAAGGTTTTTAAAAAATATTAAATTGGGGTTCTTATAAGATTTTATAGGGTCCTTTAACCCTTCTTTGTTGTTTGAACATACGGGGTTGAACGGTTTGATCTACTGTCTAATAATAGGTAATGGACACGTTTCTGTTACACAAGTCCGACATGTAAAATTTGAAAAACCAGTTTCTGTTAAATCAGAAATTTTCTATATTTATTCCCCTCATCAAAGAGCTGCTCCTTTTAAAGGATATTATTTCCCATACAAGCAGATTCAGGGGTCGTTGTCGTTAATTTTTAACAATTTTTTCTAGAAATTGACTTTTTTTCAAAATTTTTACCTTTTCAACTTTCTTACAATTAGTTTATTTAGGATTAGTTTCTTTATTTTCTAAACTTTAATCTATAATTTTATTTCTTTCAAGTCTCTTTCTTCTGACAATCATTTGCGAATAATTACTTGTTTGTGCGCTTTATTGTTTATCGTCAATCATGATTCTTTACTTTTTATTTTTGTAATTATTCCTTTTGCTTTGGCTGTTTTTGTTGATTTAGGTTTTTTTTGATTTTTTAAAAATTTTTATTAAAATATTTCTTAAAAGGCAATCGTTTGGGATTGAAAGAATATTTTTGGCAATTTTTATTTATTATTAAAGAACAATTGGCTAATAAATTGGATAAATTTGTGCATGTTGTTGTGGCTGGTCCTCTACGTAAATTTGTTCATTTGCTGTTCACTAGTGATCGAATGGTTTCTTTTATTTTTTAATTTTTTGGGGAAATGTACTCCAAAAATGTATTAATTTTGCGACAAATTTTATTTTTGGATTTGAATAATTCTTTTAAAGACTTTGGATTTGCTAAATTTTGGGCCTTTTGGAAATTTGAATTTTTGGGGAATTGGAAAAATGCGAGCTAAAAAAGTAGAGAATAATTTTGGTTCCTGAGTTTTTTTTGACAAATATCTTTTAAAATAAACACAATATTTTCTAGAGCTAGAATTAGAATATTATTTTACTGGTCGTTTTTTTTATTAGATGCTCCATTCAAAAACTTTTTTTGCCATTAAGATTGTTTTGACTAGTTTTCTTTAAGCAGTTTTTTTTTGAAATGAGAAAGTTTGTTGAGATTTAAATTTAAAAATTAGATTGCTTTATATTTAGATGACCGCCTATCACCTACCTCCTTCCTTAATTTCTTAATAAAATTTCATAAATTTTACTTTAGTTTATCAGCAGTTTATTGTCTCGTGTCGATTTGATTGCTTCCCTTACTGTAATGGGTGCTTTGGCTGTTGGATCTGTTCTTTTTCTACTTTTTACTCTCGTTCAACTGCACAGTGAAGGGTTACATTTAGTTAAGCTTGGTGGGAATGTTCTTTCCTCAAATCCAGATTGGCTACGTTATACTTTTATGAATTACACAACTAGAGATGGAAAAGAACAATTGGATTTGGATATTTATATGGAACAGGTTTTTCTTTTAAAAAATTTCTTTATTTGGAATATTGTTTTGATTTTTTCTTTTTTTACCTTTCTATTGTTCTGAATCTTATAGATCCTTAAACGTCGTCGGGTGATTTTTAAAATTCTATTATCCATTAAATCATTTTGATGATTAAGAATTTTATTACAAGAATAAAATTTATCTTTACCATTCCCTTCCCCAACTTTTTCTTCCCTGTTTTTTTCTTCACCTTTATAGAGGAGGATTCCTCGACTACATGAGTTTTTGCAACCCTATTCACATATGAAGATCACTCAAACAATGAGACTCATTGAAAAATAAAGGCCATAATAAACTTAGCCGAATTTTGAGAATTTTAGATAAATTTTGCGGAAAAATTCACCTTTTTTGATAATTCCCCTGCTAAATTTTTTTATTTTCCGACATTTCATGTGGAAAAGTTGAATATTTTACTAAAAATAATCAAATTTTAAGAAAAATCTTCAAAAAACCTAAAATAGGCACAAAAAAGGTCAAAATAGGTTCAAATAGGTTTTAGGTCCAAAAAGGTCGAAATAGGTTTTTTAGGCTCAAATAGGTCCAATGTAGGAGCATGGTACCGTGCCAAATAAGTGTTTTTTGAGCTTTACTCAACATTACAAGGTTGCAAAAAAAATAGGTCGGAACCTAAAATGTCGGACTCTATACATGACTGACTGTTCATGATATATTTTTTAGTTTATCCTAGAGTATGATTTGTCTGAAACTTTTTATTCATGACAAATTGCCACATAACCTCAGCCCTTTTAAATAAATTCTTTTCAAATCATTTTTTGAAATTTAGTAAAAAATTTTATTTTAAAGGCATACCAGCACGGACGTTCATGGCTTGCTGCAAATATTCGTTCATTGGCTAGTCCAAAAGATACAGCTAGGGCTGATCAACTTGAAGAACAAGCAAAATTGGTTATTTAAATATTTTTTTTAATTTTTTAAAAATTTATTTTTTAGTTAATAGATAATTTATACCATTTATGGGAAGAACGTGGAGGACAGCAGATTTATTCAAATAATGAGACTTTTTCACAAAATGAAGAGGAGGAAATTGTGGATGAAAATAATAATAAAATTGTGGAGAAAAAGTCCTCATTTAATTCTCATCAGCATACTTCTTGGTTTAAACAAATATTTGATAATGCTAATCTTATTGTTTGGAGAAGAGAATTGCAAGCAGTAATTACTGAAAATATTGAAACCGTTTGGGCGGTAAGAGAGAAATTAATTTTTTATCTCGTAATTGTCTTATTAGAAATAGACCAAGGCAAAAAATATCAGCTATGGCTAATAAGATTTTTCCTGGACCTGTGGGTTCTCTTGTACAGGCTCGGGTCACTTGATATAATAGTAGTGCAGATTCACTCTTGAACTCCTGATTTCTACTGCCTAACCCCACTAATGATTGATTACAATAATACCTCTAAGAACATGCTTGAATTTTGCCTTATATTGTTTTTCGTGAAAACTGTAAAAATAGGGAAGATAATAATGCTCTTAATTTAAAAAATATTTTTTGTAGATAACTCAATCAATTTGGCACATTCTGGCAGCAAATATTTCATTATTAACTACAGCTTTATTTGCAGCACTTTCCGCCCTTTTAGGATTTGGTTCAGAATTATTAAATGGATTAATTGAATGTATCGTCTTTTTAACAACGGTCTATTATTTATTGGCTAATAGTTATTCGAGATGGTTACCTCTTCAATTATTAAGTGATTGTACTGCTGCTTTTCAAGTTTTTAGAAGTGAAGATTTAACTAGTGGAGTTGGAGTGGATGTTGCTAAAGCTGCTGAACGGGCTATAAAGTAGAGAATTAATTTTTACTTTTAGTTTAACGAAGGTTATCAAAAACTTTATCAGCAAAATTATCAATTATCTCGCAAATTAAAAAATTGTGGAAACAGGCTCCCTCAAAATCATGCGCAGGATCCCTCCCGCTAAATAATTTTTAATTTTTTAATGATCTGATTTTTAAAACCTATTTGTTATAGAAAAGTGCAACTATCCATAAAAATATTTTCTAATTTTTAGTGGAGTATTTCTACTTTCAACAAAAATGGCTATATTTTATGGATTATATACATATTTTATCCATTCGTTATTTACCTTAAATGTTGTGTTTATTCCGTCTATGTTGGCTGCAGTACTTGCTGCTGTTCCTATTTTTCCTCCTTATATAGTTGGATTATTTGGAATTGTTGAATTGTGGTTAGTTAGAGGAGAGCCTATTGCTGGTTTGTAAATAATTCCGATTTTTTAGAAATTTTATTTTTTAGCAATAGTTTTTGCTTGTGGTTCAATTGCTCCTTTATTTTTTGCTGATCCTGCGTTTTATCGGGAGGTTAAGTAAGTTTTTGGATTTTTAATTTAAAAGATTTTTTGGTTGGATTAATGTTTATACTTTTATGACACTATAAAATTAATATTTGAAACCATACAAGTTTTGATCCCGATAGATTATCCTACCTCTTGAAGATTTCTTAATCTTTGGGTAAGAAATCTCGGCCAGTGCTTTTTATCTGGAACGTTTTGTGACAAAAAAACGTTTTTTTATGGAACCGACTCATTACCTATGCTAGGTCGAGCACACTCACTCACCCTTAACATTTTTGGGATTCTTTGATTTTAACCATATTGGACCTATGTATATACCCTAAAAACGTTAAAAACCTATTCTTAATTTTAAGAGGAAGTCATCCATATGCAACGGGTTTAGCCGTAGTTGGAGGTATTTATTGGTTAGGATTGCAAGGTGCTGTGATTGGCCCAATTTTACTTTGTTTAATGCTTGCCTTATTTAATGTTTATGCTGAATTTGCGAGTAATAATACAATTGCCATTTAATAGATGTTGTTAGATTTTAATTTCATTTATACCTTTTTCCTATATCTCAGATAGTCAATTTACTTAAAACATTTAGGTTTATATTTTTTAGATTTTTTTTAATAATTCGGTGCTTTATATTTTTTTGGATTTGTTTAATAAATCTATTAGAAAATTTTTAGCTTTTTTTGGGTTGAAGATAGGATCCCATAAAAGTGTAGGGTTAAAGATTAAAAATAGTTGGTGGTATCGCCACTTTTTTTTTATTTTTCCCTGAACCTCTAAACAAGTAAAGAAAAAAATTATTTATTTTTGCCACGCCTGTCTTTCCCAACGAGAGTTGATCGATTGGCCATAGCTAGAGGGGCAAGAGGATTTGTCTGCAGCTTTAATCATCAATATTTTATTTTTTCTTTAGAAATATGATCTAGAAAAAATTGTTAGTTTCAGTGTCTCCCTTTTCCCCTACGAAATTCTTCTAAAAATTTCTGCAATTATAACTTCCTCTTTAATCTGATTTAGAATAATTATAATTCATTTCCATGCTTATCGGTCTTTAGTCTTTTTTTCTTAACATTTTATTTAAATGTTTAATTTCATTAAATTTTACCTATAGGCTAATTAAATACAGTCGAACCTCATTTTAGATAACATTTAAAAGTGACCTTATGTTAGAGGGTTCCTTAAATAGAGTTGTGTCCTTTAGACATCTCGCACCACACAGTAGCCAACAAAATTTAAAAACCTTATCTTAAATTGAGGAATACCAAACTTTTAGGTATTAAAAATTAAAGTTTAACTTAAATTTTACCAAAAATTTAATTATTTTCACCACTTTTAGAGTAATAATAACCCTCCCCATTTAAAAAAAACTTAGAATGATTTATTTACTTCTTGGAGCATTGTGGGTGTCACAATTTGGAAATATTCTTTCCACCGCTAATCGCCACTCTTCTACAGCCTCGGCAAAATGTAGTCAACGTTTGTTTGAGGCAAAAGGGAATCCAGCCCCAGGTTCTAATGGTTTTAGTATTGAAGTTAATGATGCCCCTCCTGGATTGGATGAATTAAATGTTGATGGAGATGATGGGTTGGAGGTGAAGGAAAGCGACGTTGAAAGATTTTCTAACACTTTGGTTTTTAGGGGTTAAAATGGAATAGTAGTGGAATTCAACCAGATGGCTATATTCCTGGCAAGCATTATGTACTTACTGTTCGTGGATGGTTAGTAATATTTTTACAAAAGTTTACTTATCATTTACTTATCAAGAGTTACTTATCACCTAAGGTTATTTTGCACCTCATTGCAAAATACCCCTTAGGGCTGAAAAATTTTATCCTATTATGATAATACATATGTATCTTAAATAGAAGGTAGGCCTCAGTTGGCTTCCTCGCCCTTTGTAATAGATAAGGTCTTACTAATCATTATCCTCGTTTGTACTGGTTTTCTGGCTTTGTCTCAAATAGGATTAAAAATTTTTTTATTTTTGTGAAAACCCATTATTATCCTTTAATTTTAATTAAAAGATCTAATAATATGTATTTTTAATATTAAAGGAGAACACAATTTATTGTTCAAACATTTCGCGGTTTTGGGTTAACAGCTCTATTTGAAGATACTGGTAAAGCTGCTGGACATTTTGATGTCAAAAAAGTTTCTATAATTGTTTAAATTTTAAAAATTTTCAAAAAAAGAATCGAAAAGGCCGCCGTGGAGATGCTAGAATAGCTCCGAATTGTCGGCAGGCAGGTGTTTCACATACACATTTAAGACCAAAAACAGAAGTTAGAATACTTTGGAGAGCGCCGGAAACTGATGCTGGGGGTTGTATTTTATTCAGAGCAAGTGTTATTCAATCAAGACAAGTTTGGTATTGGCTAGAGAATGAAATGACGAGGAAATTTTGTCCAGCAGGTATCTAGACCAAGGAATGTTTCTATTGTTGCCTCTTTCTTATCGGTCCCTAATATACCAATTCCACTTCTAACTGTTCTTTCTGGTGTTTGATCTATTTTTCTCTTCACAATTTCCTCATGTTTTTTATATCCAAGTCCTCAGGTATCCTACCTCAATGAGTTTTTTAATAAAGGGAAGAAAGACCTTAAAAGATTAATTAAAAATAGAGGGCCATCAACTAGCTGTACCCAAAGACGATCCAAATGCGGAATGCTGTGCTTGTGATGAAGCAGAATACGACACAATATTTGTGGGCATATGGTCTAGAGAAACTCACCCAAAGGATTATCCAACTTGTAAATGAATTAAGGAAAAATTTAGAAAGAAAATTTTTTTCAATTAAAGTAGAACATTTAACTCATTTTACGGATATGTTGGGGGCTTCTCACAGCAAAAATTATTCTTTTTGGAGGTATGGAGATACAGCTACAGACGGGGTAAAAGAAATTGCAGAATGGGGGAATACTTATAAAGGCGAAAGTGAAATGAGGGGAAATGCTAGTGAAATACGTACAATTTTGAAGATGAAAGGACTTTGGTATCCTGGGCCCTATTTCAATTGTCCACAGATTCTGCGGTCTGCGTTCTGTGCACAGACCACAGAACCACAGAAATTCTGTTTCAATTATTCCACAGATTCTGCGGAAAAAGAAGTCCGCAGATTCTGTGGAAACATGCACAGAATCTGTGGAAACATCCACAGATTCTGCAAAACATCCAAAAACATGCAAAAACCACAGAATTCTATTTCAATTATTTTTCTGTGCACAGAAAAAAATCCACAGATCTGTGGCTTTTTTAGTCGATTCTGTGCATTTCTGTTTCAATTATTTCTGTGGTCTGCGGAAAATACACAGAATTCTTTAAAAAATCCACCCTAAAATTTTTTCTGCGAACTTTCTGTGGAAAAACTTTAACAATTTTTTTCTAGGCCTAGGCTTAACCAAATTTCAAAATTTTTAAAGATTATTAAAGTTTGAATCATTCTCTATTTTTTGATATAAAAATTATAATTTTATTACCTAAAATTATTGCTTAAAATTAATTTTGAAAAAGGTACATCTTTTTTACGCAGTTTTTGTTATATTCAAGCAATAAAAAAATAAAAAACGTGAGAGATTCTGAAATTTAGAGCTATGATGTTCTAATCATCATGGATATCTCTAATGAGGGGATGTTTACCAGGATCTATAGAATATATCTGTATAGCGTATACTGGGATATCTCCCATGATCTCTCATTGATATCCGTCATAATCTCTCCTCCTATTTAATGATAGATTTCCTCCTTAATCACTCCAATATATTAAACCTCAAAATCAATGGATATCCCACTTAATCACTCCTCTACGATTTTAAAGTTCCGATTTGACTATAATTTTGGATTCCAGGCATTTTCGATTTCCAGTAACCTCAATTTCTGACTAAACAATCCCCAGTTTTGTAACATTTCCCTCCCTTGCAACAACTTCTATCGTAGTTTGAAAAAGCCACATGTCGGATCGACATCTCCTGATTTTTCCGATCCGAACCCTGCTTTAGGACATTAATTTAATTGGAGATTTAAGGATATTGGATGAACAAGAAAATTAAGCGGTATATCAGCGGTTTTAAAGTGATATCAAAGAGATTTAAAGGGATGTTATGTGATTTGGAGGGAAAATTTTTAAATCTTTACAATATTTTTCAGTTTAATTTAAGAATTTTTAAAGTTTTACTTCAAAAAATCAGGTACCATTAATACTGCGGTAGTACCGAACTGTCCAAACCATTTTTCGTTTCAATAAAACTGTTATTTTCAAAAACGCGGAAATAAAAAATTTGAATTTAGAAGAAAAAATACACAGAACCACAGAAAAATAATTGAAATACAAATTCTGTGGATCAGTGGAAAAAATCCACAGATTTTTATATTTTCCACAGAAATTTTCATCCACAGAATCTGCGGAATGTTTCCACAGAATCATTGGATGTTTCCGCAGAATCTGCGGGCACCACAGATTCTGTGCACACAGAATTTAATTGAAACAGAATTTCCACAGAATCTGTGTTCTGTGCACAGAATGCAGAATCTGTGGACAATTGAAATAGGCCCCTGGTAGGTTTAATAAAAAAATTTTATGGAAAATTAAGAAGGCTGGGAACTTATTTACTTTAACTACCTACCCCAAAGTTTTACCGGGGGATTTTTCATTTAGATTTGGACATTATATCGTCAATCAAAAGAGCTCAACGAGCTGAAGTGAATAGTAACAAAATCAACTTGATTTGTTGATTTTGATTAAAATTACGAGCATATGAATTTTCGCTGGAATATCTGCTTTTGTGCGGCTAGGGGTTAGGTCCGCATTTCAAGGCTGAAAATCGGTGAAAAGTTATAGATTCATGTTACTAATGTAGAACTCGGTGACCTTTAACTCCCCGCGAGGCGTGTAATGCAAAACCATTAGCGAAACGCGGGGTTTTGCACAAGGTTTGCTCTGACCATTTTGAGCCCATTTGTCTCAGCTCAGACTTGAGACCGCGGACTTATTTTTGTGTCATTCGATTCAGCTCGTCGAGCTCTTTCGAATGATATATAAATTGACCATATACAACATACATCCGGTAAAATTTTGGGGTGGGTAGTTAAAGTAAATAAGTTCCGAAGGCTGTAGTACTTTTAGTTATTTAGTCATAATTCCCAAAATACACAACCAAAAATTCTGAAATTTTAACTGAAGTTAGATACCACTAGTGAGATGTTATTCTAAGTGCGGGAGCGGTATCTCACAAAATCCATCGCTTTTCTCCCCTTAAACTCTTCTAATTTTTTCAATATTTTTTAGAAGTTCAAGGCAAAAGCACCGGTCATTTCCACGTTAATCGTTATCACCATCTGCTTTCATTAGTTTCAATGTTTGGGCCTTCCCCGGATTGGTGTGTAGGTGTTTCTTCAATTAATTTATGTCTTTCCGATTGTTCATGGGTTGATGAAAGAGCTTTTGATTTGCGGCCATTTGATGCTGGGACAGATAATGGATATACTTATATGGTGATTAGAAAAACTTTTGCCGAAAAAAAGAAAATTTTTGTATTAAAGTCACCCAACGAGCCAGCAGAACCTCGCATTCCAGTTTTTCCAATCACCACAAAATCAGACCCTCGTTCACCTTTTTATGACACCCAAAATGAGGAAATTGCTCCATTGGCAAGATTAGTACTTAAAAGAAAACGGATAGTGCCAGGACAGTGCAGGCCTATAGAAGAATATAGAAGGGAGGCACAAAATATAAGTAGCAGCACTTCTGAAGATGCTGAATATAAAGATAGAAGTGAGTTTGGGGCTAAAAATTAGTATGAAAATCTTATAAAATCTGGATTTCTATTTTCCTAAAAGCTTCTGATTGGGCTTTTTAGAGATGGCTAGATTGAAGAGGGGACTCCTATTAGAGAATGCTGTTATTGGAAATTCGTTATAGGGAATCACTTTCTGTTCAGGGAGGTTCAATTAAATAGAAGATATTTCTATTAGGCTTAGACTGCGACGAGATATCGCTCAGAAATCTCGGTAATTGAAATTCAATGATTGACATAGGTCGAAATCAGGGATGTCTCGGGTTGAGAAAAAAGTCGGGTCGGGTTTCGGGTCGGGTTTTCAAAATTTTCTTCGGATCGGGTTTCGGGTCGAAAAAAAGTCCGGGTTTCGGGTCTCGGGTCGGGTTTCGGGTCGGGTCAGTTAAAAATTTGGTACTACTGAAGAAAAGGGTGCTTTTTCTGCGGACTTATTTTGCGGACTTTTCCTTTCCTTTACATGTTTTACTTATAGCAACTAACTGTCAAAGGCCCTCCACCCTATTATTTTTCTTACCTAAGATTGTACATAAAGGTCAAATTTTCTTCTTCCCCTCCTTCCTCTATTTGCCCTGTGGCATATTCAAACAAGAGACATTGATAAAGAGAAGATTAATTTTATAGTCATACACTTATTTTTTGCCTCCGAAAACGATGTTAAACAAAAAAAGAATTAAATAAAATTGATTTAGTCTATAACATTATGAATTTCTGTGTAAAAACATTACATTCTTACTTATATTTAAAACTAATTTAACAACTTAAAAAAAATTCAACTCAATATTGAACAACTCAATTAATTTTATTATTCTCTTTAACAATGTTTCTGGTTTGAATATGCCAAGCTCAAATAGAGGAAAGAGAGGAAGAAGGAAATCTGACCATTTTGTACAATCTTAGGTAATAAAAATAATGGGGGGGGGGGGGGACAAGGTTTGAAAGTACCCGTATTTTGATCCACAATCACATATTCTTTTTCTATGAAGCATTCCGAGATCAGTGATCCATAGTTGAAATTCGTTCATCATCGTTTATGATGTTCAAATTAATGGTGAACACATATTTTTCAAATTGGCATAAAAATTAATCCTTTGACAGTTAGTTGCTACAAGCAAAACTCGCTACAAGCAAAACAACCAAAACATTAAAAAAGAAAGAAAGGAAAAGTCCGCAAAATAAGTCCGCAGAAAAAGCACCCTTTTCTTCAGTAGTACCAAAAATTTGAACATGAAGCCAAATTTTTCGGAGAGGCTGGGGATATTAGTGATTTCCGGAATTAATAAGATAATATATAAGTGTGATATAATAAGAGACAGGGATTAAATGGATTTGGATGGATTAAGAGTAATATCAGGGGATTTGGGGATTAAAAGGGATATCAAGGCATTTAAAAGTATCTGGTGAAGATGTCTAATCCATGATTTATACCTTAAACCTCCGAGACCCTCGCAAATACCTTGAAATCCCAGATACACTTGAAATCCCAGATCTCCGCTAATCAACCTTAATCCAAGTAAATCCCCCGATATCACCCTTCATTCACTCTTGCTACTTCGACATCGCGGCAAAATTACTCTGTATTTCGTTACAGTTTTCTTCATTTTTTGGCGCCGCAGGCGAAAATTTTGCAAATTTCGGAAGGCCATGAGGCCAGAATTCTTCTTTTTATGGTAAAAATCCCAACGGAAAACGTCCCATTCGATATCACGCCCACTTTTTTTTTAATTTTCGATTTTTTTATCTTCCCCCGAAGATACCTCATTCCACCGAAGGTACCTCCCATAGATACCTCCACAAACCATCATGATTTTTAAAAATCGTGCCCAACTTCAGCAACATTTCTTAGCGCCGCAGGCGAAAATTTTGAGAATTTTGGAAAAGCAACCCACTAGATTTTATCATTTTCCAGCGCCGCAGGCGAAAATTTTGAGAATTTTGGAAGGCCAAAGAGCCAAAAATCTTCCCTTTTTGTAATAAAATTCCAAGGAAAATGTCGGGTTTCGGGTCGGGTTTTCGAAAATTTCTCGGGTCGGGTTTCGGGTCGAAAAAAAGTCCGGGTTTCGGGTATCGGGTTTCGGGTAACCCGAGACATCCCTGGTCGAAATCCCTAGTTTCTATCAAATGCGGGCTGGAGCTTCTGCTAAATATTTATCACATTAATTTCCCCAGGAGAATGTGCTGTCAGTCAATGGGGCTCGTGGTCTTTATGTTCTGCTACCTGTGGAAAAGGCATTCGAATGCGTTCTAGGTAATTAAAAGAATATTGTTCTTTATTTTTATTTCCGACAGAGTTTACACATTCCCAGTAAAAGCACAAATGTTCCATTGTCACCGACAAACAACAGAAAGACAATTTTGTAATGCCAAACAAAGTGAATGCGGATCGGATTCTGATGCGTTTAATTCTCGTTGTTTAGTAGGTGGTTGGACTGATTGGACAGAATGGTAAAGGAAATTATCTTTCGTTGCTAGGGATATGCTTGTCCCCCCGAAACTCGGATAATTTGAGACTTTTCCCTGTCCCACCTTTTGTCAGGCCCTTCTCTGATAGAGAAATAACTCTTACTGACTGGGTATAGGGCAGCGAAATTAAAAATATTCCTGTCTTATTGGAAAACACCAACGTAACAGGAGGCAATTATCGTTTAAAATCAAAGCTGGGTTTTCACAATTTTTTCTATAAAATCTCATTAAATTAAATAAAGCACAGTCAAATGTGGCCGTGGGACACGCAGCAGAGAACGCCATTTATTAAATAATTCAACCACAATAAAATGCAATGTTGAATTAAATTCTGTAGAGGAATGTATTGGAGAGGATGGAGAAGATTGTTCAATACAAGCAAATCCTTTTTGTAAAACAACAAGTTGGAGTGATTGGAGTCCTTGTAGTACAAGTTGTGATGAAGGTGTGCGTGTTAGGACTAGATTATTTTATTATGCTGAACATGAACAAGTAAATTTAGAAAAAATTTTAAGAAAAACTGGTCCGAGGTATTGAGTGAAGGGGCTTGGATTGAAGAGCAACAGTAGGATTGACCTAATACTTGTATTAGAATTTTGATAGATCCCAAAGTAGAAAGATATAAAGATGGGATTTAAAGTATAGCCCCCGGTTTAAACTGCTTTATCAACGATGATTGTAACCTAAAGCGAGGCTTTAATTCAAAAATTCTGGCAGTCCATCCAACCAACAATTTATCATTTAAGGAATGTTCAAAATCCAAAAGTTTAATGGAAAAAGACCGTTGCCGTGTGGCCGACTGTCGCCGTCTACATAGTGCACATTCTGACGGTCCGAGCCTTATATGAAATTAAAAAAAATTCAATTTCCTTTAAAGAAATTTGTGCCGAAGAGAAAGAAACGGGTCAATGTTTGGGACAATTTCCTCGTTACTGGTTTAATATAAATTCTTCACAATGTGAACGATTTGTATATAGTGGATGTAAAGGAAATCGAAATCAATTTGAATCTGAGGAGGAATGTAAACAATTTTGTATTCCAAATTATCGGCCAATTATTGGTTAATTTTGATTTTTATTGGTTATGATTAGGGCTAGTTCTACCACCATAAAATAGTCAAAAGGACTCCAGTAAGCATAAAATTTTGCTTGGAGTTAATAAATAGGGTTGACTAGCTACTCCAACAATTTCAGAATTTTTGTGTTAGTATTAGAGGATACATATATTTAATTCAAAAATCTTTAGAAATTTAGTATGTATTTTTTAAAATTCAACCATAATTTAGAAGCAAAAATCCATGTATTTTCAATCCCCGCGCCCCTCAAAACCTTCTATAAATTTAATTTCCGTTAATTTTTTTAAAGCTTCTGGTGCCGATTTGCTTAGTCCTTTTGGAGAAAATAATGAAGAAGAACAAGAACAACAAAATGATGGAGGCCCCTCATTGGATTGTGAATTGAGTGAATGGAGTCCGTGGACTGAATGTTCTTCAACTTGTGGGAGAGGAAAACGGAATCGACATAGAAATGTTAAGGTGGATTTAAAAAGAAACTGGAACGTTGAAAAATAAATTTAAAAAATTTTCTTTAATCAGACATTTCCCCGGAATGGCGGAAATCGATGCCCACCGAGAGAGCACCGTATTCAGGAAAGGCATTGTGAAAACAGGCCTTGCGGTCAGCTTTTTAAATATTTTTCCCAGTCTTAATAAAAATATTTTTAAGCTCCAAACTCGTGTAGAATAGGCCGTTGGTCTGTTTGGTCGCCCTGTTCAGTCAATTGTGGCGAAGGTTACCAAACAAGGAGAAGACGGGTTTATCGATATGGAATGGTTAAAAAAAGATTTTATTTTCTAAAAAAATTTCTAAAAATATTTTAGATAGACCCGGATGACAGAAATTGTCAGGCGGCAGAATTAGAACAACGCCAATGTGTTATTCCCTGTCACCAAAAGAAGCTGGATGAATGATAAAATTTGGAAAAGAAAGTATATATTGTTGTTTTAAAATTTTGCTTTCACAATGGATGTGTGTGTATTAGAGATCGACTGGATTTTGAACAGACCCAGATTTTTCTTGGATTCAATGTAAATTCAAGACGGTTTTCAGAGTTTTCCTAAGATCTGGTCAAGGTCTTCAACTAAAATCAAGGATTAAGGTTGTTCAAAAATCTCGATCCTTAATGTGTATATAAAAATATATATTTACTGCCCTTTCACAATTATTTTAAAAATTAAAAAAATGATAAATTTATTAATAAAATTGTTAAAGTAAATTATTGAAATTGTGTTAATAAGTTAACATACTTTTTAATAATGGTAGGATCCAGTTAATACGTCACCAGGATCGAAGTGAGCTGACGTAAACATGTAACTGACGTCTTATTAGAAATTTTCAAATTTTTAAAACACGCCAAATGTCAGAACGCCAAAATCAAGAGACGCAACTTTTTTTTAATTTTTTATCTAAAAGATCCCTACCTAATTTTTAATTATGTTTTTATAATCTATATCTTTTTATAATCACTCAACATTTGAGTGATTATAGTACATAGTTCACTGTTTATTTTAATGAAAAAATTTGTTTATCAAGACAGCTACTCCTTAATTCACCTCTTAGGGTATTTTCTTTAAATATTTTTTTAAAAAATTTGTACGAAAAGGAAAAGGAATAAATGTTGTGACGTTAGTGCCTAGCTATACATAATATGTGTCGTGTCCGGAAATTTGGGGAGTGGACACTTGGGGAGTGGATAAATGGGGAGTGGATAAATGGGGAGTGAGCGGACAATTGGGGAGTGGACATTTGGGGAGTAGCCTAACGATAAAAATACAATAAAATATTAAATAGTTTTTATTGCTTTTGTATTTAAAAAAATAAATTAGGAATCTCTCGAATGAGCTATTATATGTTTTTTCGAATTTTTGACTCTAAAATCCCACCATTGGTATTTGACCATTTCGAGCCCTATATCTCGACTCAAACTTGGTTAATCAAGCTAATTTTAGTGTCATTCGACTCAGATCGAAAGCTCTTTCGAATGAGCTATTACTTGCATATTCGAATTTTTTACTCCAAAATCGAGCTTACCCCCTCCCACTATTGTTTTTCAATTTACCTAGAACTCGGTTCAGAATCATTTCCTGAAATAGGGAGTTGGATTTTTTTCCGAAATTGGAGTTTGAGTTTTTTTTTCGAAAATTGGAGTTCGACTCAGCTCGCCGAGACGAATCGAATGACATATTCCCAAACTTTTATCTCCGGTGAACTTATACGTAACCATTTTTTAAATACAAAAGCAAGAAAAACTATTTAATATTCCTTGTATTTTTATCGTTATGCTACTTCCCAAATGTCCACTCCCCAATTGTCCGCTCACTCCCCATTTATCTACTCCCCTAATGTCCACTCCCCAAGTGTCCACTCCCCAAATCTCCGGGAGCCATATGTGTACATGTGACTCAAGCAAAGTGAGTGTGCTGCATACTAGCTTTAACTCTATAGCCATTTGTTTACTCATTGTCACATGTGTATAAAAGATAAATTTATTGTGAACTGAAGTATAGAGAGGCATTCGAAGAGAAAAGCCATCCAAATATTAGAGAAAACATCTTGTTGGCTAAGCTTGCATTATCCCCTAAATTTCTTTATTTTTTTGGATATATTGACGTATTTCAAGACTAAATATTTTTTTGAATGTTAAAGGCTTACATAAAATTAAAACCAAACGGGCAATAAAAAGCCAGGGTCAATTATTTAAAAAAAGAAGCACGAGGTGCTTATTGACTCTATTTTTGCCTCTTTATCAAAGCAAACTTTGGACCCGTCGATATTTTTAGTTTGCCTGGGAAGGGCCCCTCGCTTATTTGTACAAGCCCGCCTTTGATATGTATTTCCTGTATAATTCAAAAATACCAACACTCATTAAGAAAAGTGGTTGTTCTTTCCTTTTACAAAAATAACAAATCAAAAATCAACCACTCAAAGATAAACAAATTTTTTAGTTTCCATAGTATCCAATTTCATATTTATTTAACATTTCAGTTGCACATTGACTAAATATTTAATTAAATTAATTCCTTAATTCAACTACTTGCAAAATGGAAATTGATAGATTGTCAGTTGCCCTCCGCTCAACAAACTGGCAATTATCTCCTAAACTAGAAAAGAATGTTTACGAGTTCTGCGACTGTATTGACATTGAGCTTCATTGGAGCAAAAATCGATTCTCTTCCAATCCTGAGGCCATTTTTATACAACGAACACAAATTCCAAGCATGGAAAAGGTGGAAAAATTTTTTCAATTTCCTGCTTAAAAGGCTCATAATGGTCAATTCTCAATTTTACTCTATTTCCTCATAGCATTCTGTCAGTCAATAAAAAGGATTCGTTTTTGCTTCCCCTCATTTCAAATGAGGAAATAGAGTGAAATTGAGTAAGCCTGACCATTATGCGTCTTTTTTGTAATAAAAATGTGGGGGTGCGAAGTTTAAAATTGCCACTCTTTTGTAAAATTAAATCATTCATTGTCGTCATTTAAGGCTCTAGAATATCTCAATCACGTTTTACACCAAGCTCGCTGCATCCGCCGTATCAACTTCAATGTTCAGGTGTCAACAACGGGACTGGTAGAATCACTTCTTGCACCACTTATTGGCCACGGTAATTCCTTTATTTTAAATACAATAAACGAAAATATAATTTTAGAAAAAGTTTGTCTCGAAGAGTTGTTTGTACGCAGGTATATATTTATCGCCCCTGTTTCTACTAAATATTTTTTTAAAAATATTTCAGACGCTATATAGGACAACACTTCCTTAAACTGGCTAAACTAATTACGGCTAATGCGAAGACTTTGCGCGTTATAGGCAAAATTGGGCTTACTGAAGCTATTGAAGGTTTTAATGAACACGTGAGATTTTTTTTCTTTATAATTTGCTAATTTTAACAAATATCCTTTATGTTGCTCTTGAAAATAATGCCAGGACATTGGGGTTGGGGAAAAGCAGGGAAAAATATTCAGGCTTGATTTCTACCCATATTTTCGTTGTAAACTTCTCGAAAAGAATATTTCCAAAATTTTGAAAGAGGTGTAACATAAAGGACAAGTCTCTCATTTTTTTAATGATATTAATTGTTAGATTGCGCTAAAACGTCTTTCCCTCATCAACTTTGATTTAGTCGACAAAGAGCACTCAGAATTAGACAATGCAGATTTGGCTTTAACATCCAGATTTTATATTCGCAGACTAGCTGGCTTGGGAGCTTGTTTTGACCATTTATCATATACTTGCTACACCGGATTTGAAATAACTCGAATGCCTGTGTTATTTATGCTTCGTGTATGCAAGGTAGAAAATAATTATTATTAGCTTCAACAGTTCTTAAACAATAATTTTTCTAGGTAAAATCCCTACGCCTGACAATGCAATGTGGAACAGCCATTTTAGACCCGCCTACCCCACGTGTTCTCCTTCCAGAATTAAAAATATTGGAATTAGTTGGAAGTATGGAAGTTCGCTCAGACTTTCTATCCCGTTTATTTCCCTCTTTGGAACGTTTTGATTTTCAAAAACAAGACCTTATAACTGGTCTAGTTCAGCGCGCACGTGTTCTTTCAAACTTTGATTTTGTGATTGAACCAAATATTAATCCAATTGCCGCTGCTTGCTAGAAAGGATTTTAGAGGATTTTTTAAATTTTATTTTTAATTTCATTTTTTTGTACAATATAATTTAAATAAAAGTGAAAATGAAGAGCTTAAAAATATTAAAGAAATAAATTTGTAGATTTTAGTGAAATAAGTTAAATAATAGGCAAGGTCCGGAAATTCTAATCTCATGGACATGTGCAGAAGTGGGTCGGAATTCAGAGTTCAAGCGTTTTTCCTTACGATTTCCGAAAAAAATTTTGATTTCCGATTTCCGACAGTTCCGACCCACCTCTGATTATGTAGTCCAAAATTGTTAGGTTTGTCAGTTGGGATTGTTTATTCGTAGGAAATTCGATTCTGGTACTTTATGGATATGTCACCCCCCCTCCTATTTTGAGTCTCAGAGTTTTCCTTAAACGTAGAAAATGGTCAGAGATTATTTTCTTCTCCATGTCAATAATTTTTCTTTCTTCAAGCAAAATAAGTGAAATGTGGTAAGTGTAGAAACGAAATGAGTGAAGTGTAAGTACAAAATATGTGAAAAAGCAAAATAAACAAGCAAAATACTTAAAGAAGAAAAAAATGATTGACATGGAGAAGAAAATAATCTTTGACCATTTTCTACGTTTAAGGAAAACTCTGAGACTAAAAATAGGAGGGGGGGGGGGTGACATATCCATAAAGTACCTCGATTCTTAAAGATTCAGAAAATGTCAAAAATTTTAAAAACCGAAATTTATTAATTAAGATTTTGGAAAGTTAGAAGCAGGCAAGTGAACTCTCCATCCAATAATTTGTTTGTCAAATCCACAAGTAATTAAATTATTTAGAAGATTGTCAGAAAGCCATGTACAGGCACTAACTAGTCGATGATGGCACTTAAATAGAATAATTGTTTAAAATAAATTGGGCAACAGACAGGGGATCCACTAAATTGGGGGAAAATAATTTGAGGAAATGACCAAAAATAAAAATTTTACAGCAGCTATGAGATAATCCCAAAATTTTCGCCCTCGTCATTAAAATTACCACCCATTTATATTTTCTATAGGCCTCTTGATTTTTTCCTCGATAAAGAAAATTCCTTAGAAAATAAATCAAAAATACCTTTCCGGCGCTTCGTGGAATTCTAGTCATTCGACTTCCATTCATATCGTAAATATAAATATTTCGATTATCCAGCGGTATAGCTAACAGATTTTTTGAATTGCATATTGAAATTTTATTGACCTTAAATAAAATTTTATAATTATAAAAATTATTTAAATATAACCGCTATATTTAATCGAATTGCGGAGATTGGACTTCGCATATTCCTCAAATCCCATACCTGAAAATAAATTTGAATTAAAAAAAAATAAAAATATAAACCTTTACGGTCTTGTCATCGCTGCCCGAAACGATATGATGTAAATGAGAAAATACAACGGATGTTACGGAACTGGAAAAAAATATAATTGTTTAAAAGTGCGTGGATTGCCTATATTTAGAATATTGATAGCTAATGTTGAGGTTAAAATTCTAGTTAACCAACAGAAAAAATGTTGGTGGGTGGCGTACTACGCATCAGTGATATAACCGCCGTAATGCACGCAAATCGAGAATTTATTTTTTGCGACTAGATCCCTGCTTTGCATGGTCTCAATTTAGAAAGTAAAATTAAAAAACAAACTCATTATGTCCTTGAAAGACAGCAACAGAATGAATAGGCTCTCTAAAATCCCATAGACGAAAAGTGAAGTCACGACTGGCAGTAGCCAACAATTTTTGCGAGGGGTGGACAGAACATTTAGTCAATTCCTGATCGTGTCCTATTTAATTGACATTAATTTTTAAAAAATTTAATAGTTATACCAGAAAGTGTTTTTACAATTTTTCCAGTTTCGGCATCGAATAAATTTGCAGTTCGATCCCAAGAGACAGTGATAATTTCGTCACCTCCAAAAAGCCAATCTCCATCCGTTACAACATCAGAATGTCCTAATAATTGGAAAATAAATTTAAAAACAAGAAAATAAAAACCAGTAAGTTTAAGCAAAGGCTGGTGTATTTGTTGCAAAGGCGGAAGTTCTGCTAAAATTTTAAAAAAGAATTTTAAGAAAAATTTCAGAATGATTAGAATAAGATGGTCATTCGAAGGGGCTCGTGTTGAATTTGATGACGCCAAAAAATCTAACAATAAACCAATTCTTGAGACAAAAGGCTAATTTTAGTGTGACTCACAAGCTCAATGAACCCTATCGAATGACATAATTCGACAAAATCGGCCGTTCAAGTATTACTCCAAAAATTCCTATTATTCAATTCTAGAGGAAGTCTCGATAAAACTTAACCGATTTTTGAAGAAGTTTAAAAAATCTTATAGAATACACAAAATATATACCATTTTGAAAATCGTTTTCATGCAGTCTTTCAGTTATTTGATCAAAATTGACGCGCCAAATATGTGAAGAACGGTCCCCGCTACAGGTAAGAAATGTTGGTTGACACCCCGAATAAGTATTTTGATCACATCTAATAGCTACAGAATTGACTGAACCGTTGTGAGCGGAGTAATTCACAATTGGTTGAGAACCATTTTCTGCTAACCAAATTTTGGAAGTTTGGTCTAAATTTGAGAACTTTGATTAAATTTCTAACAAAAGAAAACCAGCACTAGCACTAGCCAAAACATTAAAATTCCCGACTTTTGCTGTACAAACATCCCAAACTCCGTCTGTATGTCCTTTAAAATTCTGTACAAAACGATTCTTGGATTCTGGGACACTTGATCCCACTTTTAAGGCAAGCTTGCCTGACGGATTTTTAAATGCAGATTTCCATTTTTGTTGTCTTCCTGCTAAATTTGAATTGAATTTAAGGCTTATTTAGGGTTAAAAAATGTTTACATCTTTTCCCACTAATGCTCGTTTCAATCGCTTGGTTAAAATAATCATTTTCATTTTTTTGAAAGGAAGTATTGCTAACATGTTCAGACAATTCTCTCTGTATTGATGTGTCTTTCTCATTAACAATTCTTTCATTTGGATAAACTTCTTCCAAACGAAGACGTACTAAAAATAAGAAAAAATCAAGAAAATTTAACCAAAAATTTAAAAAAAACATTCGCAATTTTCCAAATGTATAGAGTCCATTTCCCGTTCTATAAGCGTAAATAATTCATAAAGACGTCTCCTTAAATAATGAGTGAATTTTCAGTTAATTATTTAAGAAAATAAACTTGTAAGGAAGAATTGGAACTTTAACTGAATCAGCTTGGCCTGTATGTTCTGGATATTTCAATCTTGACAACATTAGGGCTGTATCGGTTTGACTGCGTGCCCTGCTGTCAGCGACATCATTTTGTGTATTGTTCATCTTCGATTAGATTCGAACTGATTAAAATCTTCGGATTAATTGTAAGAGCAAAACACAGACATTCTGCCACTAAGGGCAAAAAAGACATTTTGCCAGTACCAATTTTGCCAACACGAATTTTGCCAACTTGGGCAAAACAACAAAAAACAAGCTTACAATTTTATAAATTTTCTTTAATAAAATAATTTTTTAAATTTTAGCTTTTAAATTTATTCTTCAGAAAAATGAAGAAACAATTACCTTTTGAATTAAAAAATGATATTTTCAGATTTTTGCCAATCAAAAAATCTATTTTATTGATAACAATTTCATCTAATATTTATTTAGTAAATAAAAAATTTATTAAAAAAATTTGGGAAAAGGTTTTTAAATTTATCCAAATTTATTTTTTAAAATTTAGAATAGGCCTTTAACAACAAAAGAATGGACTAATCTTTTAACAAAAATGAGAAAATATTGTAAAGAAGGCAAAATACTTAAAGAGTTTGGGGTTTTTTAATTAATTATCTGTTTTTTGAGTTAAAATTTATAAAAGGGGATTTTTAATTCAATTTAAAAATTTCTTCAAAAATTTCTGGGTAGCGGGCGTTTCAGAAGCCGTTTCAGTCTCGAGGGTATATTTTGGGCCATAACTTTTTTAATCCTTAACCGATTTAAATATTTATTATATCATTCGAAAGCCCTGAATGTGAGGATTATTTTATCTAGCAGGATTGAATTGATCAGATTATTCTAGAAAAAAGTAGAGGCGGGGAAATGCACGCAATCGTGATTTTCAATATTTATTTGGCTGTAACCTTTTTTTAGTGAAGATCTTGTAAGGATGATTCACCTAGAGCATTTAAAACGCTTAGGTGGATGTTAAACGATCTAAAAGGATAAAAGAGCAAGTATTAGTGCTTCCCTGGTAGCTCAGAGGTAGAGCTACTGTATGTGGTGAGCGAAGGCGGCTAGCAATAGGTCGCAGGTTCGAATCCTGCCCGGTGGCTAAACTTTTACTAAACTTTCTATCTGATCAAATCAGTAATCTTCAAATCCAGAATATAATCTCGAAACTTAAACAGCTTCTAGATAAAATATTTAAATATCTAATTTATTTTAGTGTTATTCAAATGATTGAAATTAATGAAAATATGTATGGAATTCGTTTATTTAGTGAAGGCAAAAATTTGTAAAATTTTTTCTAAAAATTTTTTAAATTTAATTTTTTAGGAAAATAAAAATTGTTGGTTATAGAGATCATCCAATAAATAAAGAGCCAAGACGGATTATTTCATATAAATTAGAGCCGTCAACTTCGAGATGTTTAATTTCTTATTTTGAGAAAATCGAAGGAGGGAATTAACACAAAAAATTAATTTATTTTGTAAAAATTTTTGGAAAAAATAAAATTGTTTTTTGATAAAATAAACAAGACTAGCTCTGATTTTTAGAACAAATGGTCTGGTATTGTTTCTATGCCCAAAAATTTTATTGGAATAGGCGAACCTATGGAAGTTGTGGTACACATAACCAAAGTTGGCTTAGTTCTAAAAATAGGACCCGGATATATTTTTGTAACACATTTTACTTGTAGAAGAAGAACGGAAAGTTTCTTCTTCAGATAATCAATAGTCTCAATTATATAATAAGAGCGATTGTCTTGTTTTAAAATTCATCTAAGATCAATTTGTTAACAAACGATATGAAACCTAACATTCTTATTTTCAATGGAAAACTTTTAAAATAAAGAAATTAAAAATAATTTATTTTTAATATTTGATTATAAAAATTATAAAGTAATTGAAATTTTTATTATAATCTCCAATTTATTCAAAATATATCAATAAAATTATCGCCTTCATCTTTTACTTCAAACTAAAATAATAAATAATTAATTATAAAATATTTTAAATTTTTATTTAATTTTTTAGGGTGAAAAAATATTTTATTTAAAATATTGTTTTGAACGAACATTACAATTTTTTCTAAATTTTTAGGGTTTTTGGTGTTATTTTCGAGTCAGTATCGTAATTCTAGGATAAAATTTTGTCTTTAATTTTGAAGAATTTTCGATCGTGGAAATCTGACCATACCCTCTTCAATAAATTATCTGACAAAATAATTTATTCCTATTTAATTAAAAACAATGAAAAAAGGGAAATCCAGACTTTTTTCGATCCAAAATACGATCTGAGAAATTTTTAAACGTTTCGAAACTTTAAATGACTTTTTCTTGACCTATCCCTGATCGAAAAAAAGTCATACTTTCATTATTTAATCGTTTAGTGCAGGCTGCGTTTCCGTTTATCAGAAAACTTCAAACCATCATATTTAGAACAATCTCCACCAAGAAGCTTTTCGTTTTTGCAGCAAAATCGGTCTTTAGCTAAAATATTTCTTTGATTTTTTTTTAAATTAAAAAATATTTACCTTCATCACACTTATCGCAATCACAATTACAACCGAAAATGTTGCAATGTGGAGGGAATCCAAGAAATCCGTTAACTGTACAGCAATATCCGTTTGTCTAAATAAATATTTCGAAAAATTATTTCTTCTATTTTTCAAAGTATTTTTTGTTATTTTTAATTTATTTAAATTTAAAAATTACTTTATCAACAGATGAAAGTAAAATAAAAATAAATGCAATATAAATTAAATAATAATAATTCATTTTATTTAATAAAAAAATTTTCCAAGCTTTATGAAATACTACAAAAATTATTTTTAAATATTTATTTATAATTTACTTAATATATTTTTGATGTTTTATTTAAAAAACGAATAAATTCCGGAAATCTTATTTTTTTGCCTTCTAATTTATTTCGGAGAATTAAGTTTGTGGAAATTTAAAATCTGTAATTTGATAACCTAACAATTAGGGCCCGAAAAGACTTGGTCGGGCTGGCCAATAAAAATGAAGCCCAAAAAATGGCTCGAACGGAGGCCTGACTCGAAACCCCAGCTCTACTTACAATAAGCTTTTTTAAAAAAATCTGTCATTTTATGATATTTAGAAATTCTTTTAAAGAAATAAAAATGAAAAAAATGCTTAAAAGAATCATTAAAAAATAAAATTGACAAGAAAATAAAGATGATCAAATCTTTTTTCATTTTAAATTTATATATAAAGTCCTTAATCATGAATGTGCTGATTTTTTTCTAAATTTTTTAAAGAATTTGGAATGATTCATAAAAATGATTAAAATAATGAACAATTTGTATGAATCATTAGACTGGTTTAACACTCAAATGTTACTGGATTAAGATCTTCTTCAATCCTCCAAATTCTTTGATACTTCTCAAAATTCCCCTATATCCCTTTAACTGGCCGGATATCCCCGATATCCATCCAAATATTTAATATCTCCCTTCTGAAAAATTTATTTATAAACAATTTCGTGGCTTCTTTAAATTATTATAAAATTTTAACGTAAATTTAAAAAAAAATTTTTTTTGAAAAATCCGGAAGCAATCTGGAACCTTGGTAAATTTTGCCGGACTCCGGAAATTATTTTTACCCGAGTAAAACCAGATCAGATTAATCCGGAGAAATTGCAGGATCCGTCCGGCTCAGATTAAAATCCGGAATCCGTCGATTTGCCGGTCACTACCAGAAAACATTGATTTACCAAATTTTCAAAAATCAATAATTTCGCCAAAAATGTCGTTGTTGAAACTAAGAAAAAGGGTCAGAAGTGGAAAAAGTTATAAAATGGTCAGACACAAAGGGAAGGAAAAAAGTTTTAAAAAATCTTTTTTCTACATATTTTTATTTCTTAAAATCAAAATTCCTAGACATAACTTAATTTAAATATTCTAACAATTAATGGATATCCATTCACTACCAAGAATTTCTGAATTACCACAAGATGTTAGTCAAAAAATTTGTACTGGCTTGGTAATTCTTGATTTAGCTGGGGCATGTAAAGAATTAATTGATAATGCTTTGGATGCTAACTCAACAAATATAGGTTCTCTTTAATTTTTCGTTTGAGAATCTAAAAATTTAAAAATCTGAGAGAAATGCCCCGTTTTGAATTCATTCCTTGTTTGAAGCTTAAGATGAATTATTGGGTAATTTTTGTTTATCCGCTCAAATTTTCTTCCTCTTTTTTTTCTCCAAAATATCAAATTGGTCAAAGGGGAATTATGGACATAAAGATGTAATGACAGCGCTTATCCAACTTTTTTTTTTAAGAAAGGCAAAAAAGGAAAGGAAGGGTGGAAGGAATATGTGTTTGGCAAAGGCGTAGCCAGGGGGGGCCTCTGGGGTGGTGGTAATTATGAAAATTTTATTAAATTTTATTTTGGAATTTGTAGGTCAGATCAAAAATCTTTTTGTATTTTAGAAGTTAGAACAGTCGAAAATGGCACAGAATTAATTGAAGTTATTGATAATGGAAGTGGAATATTGCCCGACGATTTTGATAAAATTTGTATTTTTTGAACTTTTCTATTAAAAAATAATTATTTTTTTCAAATTTTAGGCAAACCTCATTGCACATCAAAATTAACTGGTTTTGAAAGTTTTGATTCTCTCAATACTTTTGGGTTTAGAGGGGAGGCTTTAAATGCTTTAACAAATACATCGTTGGTTTTTTAAAATTATTTCTTTTTAATTTAAAAATAAATTTAGGCAAGTACTCATTACTACGAGGGATGCAAACTCGAGATGTGCTTTTAAACTTGTTTTTGATAGAAATGGGGAAATTGTGGAAAAGCAGCAATGTTCGAGACAGGCAAGGTTTTGGCTAAAGTACACTTTACCGGGCGATTTTAGATTTTTATGATTTATATGTCAATCGAAAGAGCTCGGCGAGCTGAATCGAATGACACGAAAATTATTCCGCGGACTCAACTATGAACCGAGATATGGGTCCCCAAAAATCGAAAAACCATAGGGGGGACAAGCACTTTTTTGGGGGTAAAAAATTCGAATATGCAAATTATACCTCATTCGAAAGAGCTCGTCGAGCTGAGTCGAATGACACCAAAATCAACGAAATCCGACTTAATTTGACAAAGTTATGATCTTTTATTTTAGCTCCTTACCTATGGCATCTGTGGAGATTCTTGCTGCTACTGAGGCCCCAAATACGTCCAGAGCAAGGGAGATAGGAATAGGTTTATGTTACGAGCCCAGACCCAGCGCCCGTAGACTCCCCGCGAGGCGTGTGCCGCAAAACCCCGCGCGAAGCGCGGGGTTTTGCACAAGCGCCTCGCCGACACCCCATAGGTTTATGTTGCTTGATTTTATGTCATAACTTAGTCTTATCTTATTCAATCACGGTGATTTTGGTGTCATTCGACTCAGCTCGACGAGCTCTTTCGAATGAGGTATAATTTGCATATTCGAATTTTTTACCCCCAAAAAAGTGCTTGTCCCCCCTATGGTTTTTCGATTTTTGGGGACCCATATCTCGGTTCATAGTTGAGTCCGCGGAATAATTTTTGTGTCATTCGATTCAGCTCGCCGAGCTCTTTCGATTGACATATAAATCATAAAAATCTAAAATCGCCCGGTAAAGTGTACTTAGGCCAAGGTTTTTAAATATTTTTTTTGTTTTTTGGATAATCCAGTCGGGGTATTTTTTACGGGCCTAACTTTGGGGATCTTTGGATTGTCCGAAACTTGGACTTTCTCGCTTTTTGGACTTTTGTCGGATTTTTTTCCTGGAGCCTGGGCTTTCCAGTTTTAAGAAAATTTTGAAAAATCGGACGTTATCTCAACCTTATCTATCCTTATTTAATTTGGTTAAATTTGGGGATTAGGAACTTGTTTTTCTCTTTTATGTTCGATTAAAACTTTCCAAAAATCATGAAAATGTTTTGTTATTCTTATTGTCAATTTGATTATTATTTTTCTGTTTTTTCAGCAAGGAACAACAGTATCTATTTCCAATCTTTTTAAATTTCTGCCTGTTCGACGTCAAGAACTTTTACGTTCTTCAAAACGGGAATTGTTAAAATTAATTGATTGTGTTCAGGCATTTGCTATTTCACATCCAAAATGTCGTTTTAATTGCTCGAATGTGATTAACGGGTTTGGAATTTTTTTAATTAAAGTTCCAAATTTTACCTAATTTCTTATCCTAATTATTTTTGAGTTCCGATGGTTTTTTATTTTCATTTCACATTATTTTACTTCAATTTAAGATTTATTATGTTTAAAATAAGTGTTTGACGAGAAAAGTTTATTTTAAAAATTCTGTCCGCAAGTTTTGTCCGCAAATATTACTAGACTTTTTTTTATTATTTTGTTCCTTATTCTGTCATGTATTTAAAATTACTTGCCTAGAATTAATTTTAGAGAGAAATTTATTTTAAAAAATTCTTTTTTCAGAAAACCTTCACAATTACTTTCCTCGCCAGGTGGAAATACTCAATTAATTGATGTAATTACTAATTTACTTGGAACTCCAAAAAATGAATTACTTGAATTGTCAGAATCAATTCCAGAAGAGGATATTCAACAAATTTATAAAATTAATAATACAAATTGTGAAAATATATTTAAACAAATAAGGTTAGTTTTGAATTTTTTGAGGAATTAAGGGTAGAATAATCGATTTCACAAAAAAATTTGGGGAATAGATATTCACAAAATATTTTTTTAAAATTAATTTTAAAGAGTTTTTTTTGTAAATTGGAATTCTTTTCCCACCTTTTTGTTTAACTACAAAAAATATTTTTCGTGTCTGTATTTGTGTAATTTTATATTTGGAACTGGAGACCGGTTTGGGATGGTTGTATCAGAATTGAGATCGTTAACCTGAAAAATATTGATTTGTGATAACCTAAATGTCTCTGACATGAGATCTCGGTCCGGTCTCTAGTTGAAACAACAAAAGTTTTTTAAACAATAAAAAGTGCCTCGTGGGGGGTGAATCTTGGAGAATTTTCTTCCTTGAACTTTTTCCAATATTTATTCTTAAAAATTAACATCTAATTAATTTTTTATAGATTATCTGGTTATATTAGCAATTTTGAATATGGACGCTGTAAAATTGTTAAAGAAAAACATTTTGTTTATGTTAATGGAAGACATATTGAATCACAAAGGGTTTTTTAAAGGTTTTAAATTTCTCTATAAAACTCTTTAAAGTTATCAAAAATTGCAAATGATTTGTATGGTCAATACAATAAATGTGGACAACGTTGTATTTTAATTCTTTTTATTTCCATTCCTTCATCAACTTTGGATGTAAATGTTACTCCTGACAAGAAAACTTTATTTTTACATTTTGAAAAAGAGGTTTTTGTTTGAAATTAATTTTTTTCATATATTTTTGAGGCTTTGAGGAAGCTAGTGGATTTATTATTAGTTAAATTTTTATTTTTTCTCTGTACATAAATTTGATCCTTTATCCAGTCCGTCTCATAAATTTTTGATTTTTTTAGTTTTCTAAGTTGGGGGTTTAGTTTTTTATGATATGCTTATAAAAAAGCGCTTATTGTTAGCGACAGAGAATATTCAAAAAGGGAGAAAAAAGTCCTCTTTTCCCTGATTCTCCTCTCCCTTGATCTTTTCTGTCGCAAGACTTTATTCAAAACAAAAATACCTAATCGGATATTTAATAAGAATTTTTCTTTTTTTTAATTTCAACAAAATCTTTTTAGCTTTTTGCAAAACTCCATTCAACACTCATTTCCACTTTTTCAAAAGTCCAAGGCGAATGTTCAACTACTTTATTTGAAGATTTAGTCCAAAACAAATCTTATTCATTAGCAAAATCCCAACGTTTATTTTATGATTTTAAATCGTCTACTAATCTTTTAAATAATTTGAAAAAATTGGAAAGAACTGACAGTGGTGGGTCCACGAATGTTGTTCAGATTGATGAGGATGATGATTTTTGGTTCGTTTTTCAAATAAATCGTTAGGTTTTAAGATTTAAGTAGTTCAAAAGAGTCTGCTCGACCTAAGAATCCTTTTATTAGTTAAAGTTAATTTTATAAATTGCCCATTCATTTCCTGAATTGTCCCAAGAAAGTTTAACTTAATTTTTAAAAATTTCTTTAAATATTTTAAGTCAACTTTCTACTTTGTCATCAATTACTAAAAACCAAATTCAAAATAAAATTCAAACAACGACAAAAACTCCAATAAAACGAGAAATATCTGCATTATCTTCAAATACTTCCCCACAATCATCTATATCCTCATTATCTTCAATATCATCATTGTCAGTACCTTCTGCTTCATTAATATCATCACTATCTTCTAGTCCATCTTCCAGTTCATCAAACTCAACCCAACCGGAAATTAGTCAAAATTCAACATTAATCCCTTCCCCAACTTCTGAACGTTCACTTCCAATAAACTCTTCTCCATCTTCTATAAAACAACCAATAATTGCTGCCTCTTCTTCTTCAAATAATAATATTTATCGTCCTCATCAAACAATCAAAATTAATTTTGAAGATTTAAAAAATAAAATTTTGAAAAGGAAAAAAAGGGAAGAAAATAGAGAAAAGATAAAAGAAAAATGTTTAAATTCAATTGAAGAAGCAGAATTAAATTTTGATGAAAATAATGCCCAAGTGGTTAAAAATGAAATTGAGAGAAGGCTTTCTTTGATGTTGAGGTTAGATGTTAAAAAATTTTTTTGATTTAACTTGGGCGGTAAATTTTCCTCCAAACAAAATGTAGAGGAACAACGATCAATCCGTTATACGTCTTAACCGGCTAACAACCCTGCATAGGAGAGCTTGCAGAATTAAGTCTTATCCAATATTTTTGCTTTTTTTTCAGCTGGGTGTTTGGTCACTTATTTTACATTTTTGTTGAAAATTCAACTACTATACTAGAATAAAAATCAGATGGGCTGATTTAGGAAAATACATATGAGGAACCTTTTGAGGGCATTCTCTATTAACAATAAATAATTTTTTTGATATTAAAAATCAACTTTTTTCAGTAAATCAGATTTTAAACGAATGCATTTAATTGGACAATTTAATAATGCATTTATTTTAACTCGACTTGGCCCCCATCTATTCATGATTGATCAACACGCTGCAGATGAAAAATATAATTTTGAAATGCTTCAATTAACAACTACAATAAAATCACAAAAATTATTTAAAGCTCAATTGTTGAATTTTGGTCCGATGGATTTTGCTTTGTTAAGAGACAATTTGGATTTATTTAATAAAAATGGATTTGAATTTGTTTTTGATGATGATGAATGGGAAGAAGAGGAAAGTCAAAATGGTGAGAAAGTTGAATTTAGAAAAGAGACCGAAACTAGATCCCTCAAAAAATCTTAGTTATCGAGACCAAAATTTTTCTTAATATTCGGTCTAGAATTTCGATTATTAATTTGATACCACTCAAAAAACTTCTCGGTCCGACTCGTTGCCTTACCAAATATTTATTTAAAAATATTTGTTTGGTATTTTTTAAGCAAGTTTTGGAAATTTTACACGTACTTATTTTGAATTTTTGGGTCACTAAACCTACAAGAATGCTCCTTTTTTATCTTAACACATAGTTTTTATAAGCGGTAATTCAATATTTTCTTTAATTCTGCCATTAAATAAGTTGCCTATTTTAATTTTTTTGTTCAGTTTGTCTAAAATTATTAATTTTTTAGACATAACAACAACCAACACCACAATAACAACCACTAATACCATTCAAAACTCTTCAGCACGTCTTGTTGCTTTACCAAATATTGTTGGTCACAGTTTTGATAAACATGGTGAATTAATTAAATTTTAAAATCATTCAATATTTTTTAAAGATATTGATGAAATCCTATCAATGATCGCGGAAATGCCTGGTCAATTACACAGACCTCGAAAAGTCAGGTCTATTTTTGCTTCAAAAGCTTGTAGAAAATCTGTAATGTTTGGGCATCCACTTTCTGAATTTAAAATGAAACAAATTATTGAAAATATGGGAAAAATTGAACAGCCGTGGAATTGTCCACATGGAAGGCCTACAATTAGACATTTATGTACTGTTAATTTAGGATAATTTTTTATTTTAGTCTTAACACTTACTACTTATTTTTATATTATTTTTACGGTTTTTTCTAAAATAAATTCGATTTGTTTTCAATATTTTATCAGCAGATATTTTAAAGATTTTTTGGGGATTTTCGAATTTTACTACATAACCTGGACTAAAGAGATGTTAAAAATTGATCTCAGTTGAAGTTTTTTTGTTTTCAAAAAAACAATTGTTTAGTGGAGGGCTATAAAAATCCAAAATTTTTGTACATCAATTCCTTCTAAGAAAGAAACCCATTTAAATAATGATTTTACTAGAGGACTATGTACATTTGTGCTAAATATATTTCTGTATGGAGTTAGGGAAATTTCAGGATATTTCGACTTGATTCTCGATAACCATGATTTTTGTTTGGGATCCATTTAAATTACTTTCCAACTCAAAAAAAACATTTGAAAAAACATTTTGTTTTTTCTCCATTCTTTACCTTTTTTCTTAAGTCATTTGTGTCTATTCTACGCCCACTCGCTATATTTTCCTATTCTAGCATCTGGCAATAAAACTTTATAAAAAGAAAATTCCAATCAGAGAAAGTTGGTGGGATGAATAGAAAAAAAGAAATGAGGACAATTGCTTTACTATATTTTTGTTGCAGTAAAGGATCAAGCTTTAGATAGTTTATACTTCAACTCTTTGCCTGATAATCGATAAAAATAATTAAATGATCTAATAAATCTATTAGAGCCTTAATTCTGAGCCTTGACATTTTAATTCCCTGTCCTTATTCTCATTTTTTATTAATAAATACAACTATTCGGATTGATTAAACTAGCAAATATTTCTGATGTAATTACATTCAACCAATTAAGGAAAATAAAGGAAACGTTTGTTATACAGAGAGCTAATACATATTACTACATAACAGGGACGTCACGGATTGAAAAAAGTCGGGTTCGGATCGGGGTTTCAAAATTTTCTTCAGATCGGATTTCGAGACGAAAAAAGTCCGGGTATCGGGTAACCCTTGACACCCCTGTTACATACTTAAAAGCTTTTTTAATTAAGAGAAATAATTTCCAGATTTTATCTCTTTATAATGTCACCTACACATTTGGCACTTTTATCAAATGCCAGTTTTATTAGATTTAATTTTATTTGTTTAAAGCCGATTTCTATTCTCTTCCTTTCTCTCCGATCAATTTAAAAGAAAAAAGTATTTCTTTAATGAACAAATGTTGTCCAAAGCTCTCTAGCCATTTCCCACACATTTACTGATCGCTAAATAAGCCTGTAAATAAAAAGTCCAGCTCAATAACTGGATATATATTCAATCAACTTTTTTTATTCTCTCATTTTTCTCCTCCTTTCAATCCCTTTAATTCTTTTCATTTTTTCAATATCCGGGGGAGATATTGACGTCCATGTCCATCTGTTTTCATTTTCTTAAAGCTTAAACATTTGTTGGTTATACTTGCTGTTCCTCTCTCAAATATTCTTCTTTTTATTTCAGATACTTTCCTGAACATTAAATAGAATTTATATTAAATACTTAAAGTAGCACTTCTAAACAGGTGATATTTTTAAAGAAAAAATAACTGATGGGTTTTCGAGCTTAGAATCCTTATCTCAATCTCCAAGTTGTCTCAAAGGGATATCTTGGAACGGAATACCTAATTCAATTTATCTATAAGAGATCGGATAGAGATTGATTTGGACTTTATAAAATTATAGAATAATAGAACAGTTAAACTCTCAGTTTTTTCAGAATGTCAGTAGCAGAATCTGAAGGAGTTCCAGCTGCCAAGCCGGCATCTGATGAGGTAATAAATAAATTTTTTTTGGAAAAATTATTGAAATATATTTTTCTATTCCCTTATAATCTCCTTAATAATTTCCTTAATAATATTTAAAAATAATTTTTTTCTATCAATTATTAATTTAAATAATTTTTAATAGGAAGCCAAACGTCAGGCTTTGGCAGCCAAAAAAGCTGAAGTCCGTAAACGTCTTGAGGAGGCTGGAAAGAAGGGCAAAAAGAAGAAGGGTTTTTTGACACCTGAGCGCAAGAAGAAACTTCGTGTAACGAGTTTATATAAAATTCTCGAAAAAATTTTCCCCGTTTTCAGAAATTGTTGATGATCAAAGCTGCCGAAAACCTTAAAAATCAACAAAAACAATTAGATTCTGAACGTCAAAGTGTTTTAAGTAAACGAATTAGTGCTTGCCCAGATGTTGATAAAATTGATGATGTTGGGCAGTTATCTAAAATATATAACGATTTATTCCAAAAAATGTTACAATTGGAAGAAGAAAAGTATGATATTAATTTTGCTGTTAGTCAAAAGGATTCTGAGGTAAATTTGAGAAGAGGAATAATAAATTTAAAAATCTTATGGATTCGCTTTAATTCAAAAAAAGCTTATGATCGTTTAGACTGTTGATTTCGTACCGAACAGAAAATTTTCCTCAATTTTCGGTTGATCAGAAAATTTCCAAAACCTACAACCTTTAGTAATATTCAACAAATATTATGAGTTGAGACTGGAAATAAGATAATAACACCTGAGGGATGGTAGAACGATAGACGATATTCTTGATTGTTCTCTAGTTGAGATTGAAGAGTTTAAATATCATTTTAAGATTTTTTTATTAGTTAGGGGTCCTTATATTGAGAGGATTGTCGGTCCCTGTAAAGTCTTCGGATATCCTGTCTCGAACCAAAAATCCTCGGTTCGGGTTCAAACTGAAGAACTCTAAATGGGGGGGGGGGTATTTATTAAAAGCAATAATTAATCCTTAATTCTGCAAACATTTTTTAATTAATAGATTAATGAAATGACCATCAATGTTAACGATTTACGAGGCAAATTGTAAATTTAAAAGAAAAATTTTTAAAAATATATTTTTTTAATTTTTAAGTGTAAAACCAACTTTAAAGAAAGTTTCCAAATACGACAATAAATTCCGTAAAGTTTTGGCTGGGGAAGGAGAAGCTACATCAACTAAACCAAAAGAGGACTTTAGAGCTAAACTTAAAGCTGTAGAGAAGAAGAATGTTATGGAAGTGCTTGAAAATAAGGTGATGAGGAGAAGGGGGAATTTTGGAAAATTCTCAAAATTTTCCTCAAAAAATATTTAAATCAATTCCCCTCATTCTTAAGCAAAAAAGCAAAGCCGAAAAGCCAGAATGGAGCAAGAAGGGAGATGATAAGGGTGCCGGACGACGAGCAAGTGCCGCCAGTTCTGGTGGGGGCGCCCCTCCATCACCTAAGAAATTAACTGCTGGACAAGCAGCTCCACCTCCAGAAGAGGAAGAGGAGGAGATAATTGAGGATGAAGGTGAAAATTTAAAAAATTATTAAAATATTTCTGGGAGAGGCCGATTAAAATTGACCGACCCCACGTCACTACTTTTTTAGACGTACGAGGGGAAGTGAGACGAGTATGGGAAGGTCAGATCAGGATAGAACCAGTGCTAGGTATTGGACGTATGTGGATCCAGTCCCAACTTTTTCAAGTCACTAGTTCCCGGAGCTATACCATGCACTGACTAAACTTCATGACCGAATTAAGTGAACGTAAGAGTGGACTAGGGAAGGGAAAGCATTGCATAGAGCTTCCCGTGTATTGTTGTAAAATTTGAGGCTTTTAGGCTTTTATTTACCGATTTTAATCAAAGAATAAATTTAAAATTTTTAAAGGAGAAGGCGAAGAGGAGGAAGAGTGAAAACAATAAAATAAATTTTTTGGAATTTTTAAAAGAAGAATTTAAAAAAATTTTTTGCGAAGAATAACTAATTAAATTTAAGATAAAATTTCTCTTCTTTATTGCAATTATATTTTTAAAGAAGTGCATTAAAAAATAAAAATATTGGAAAAATATTTTTTGTTTAATTAGAGTAAAACGGCCGAATCCTTCCAGAATCGGTTCTAAGAGTTCCTTCCGCTCAAGCTTCCCAATACGGTACACCTCAATTGAGTCCGCACGATTGAGTCCCCACGATTGAGTCCGCACGATTGAGTCCCCACGATTGAGTCCCGGCACAATTGAGTCCCCACGATTGAGTCCGCACGATTGAGTCCCCGTTGTATATACCTCAATTGAGTCCCCTAGATTTAATTATATTAAAAAAGATTAAGAGGGATATTTGGGGATTTGGAGGGATTAATGTTAATATCAGGGGACTTGTATGCGACATCGAGGTATCAAGATGGATATTGGTGAATATCAAGGGATATAAGTAGATTTAAGCGGGGATATCGGTTGAATTAAGGCAGATATCAACAAATTCGGAGAGATTAAGATGGCACCAAAATCAACATTGTTGAACAAGTTCTCGCCGAGATATGGGGCTCGAAATGGTGGATTTTTTGGTGGAATTCCATGGGGAATTTTTGTTGCGAAACATTCGAATAAACAAAAAATAGCTCATTCGAAAGGGATCGACGAGATGAGTTGAATAAGACCAAAATCAAGTTGATTGAATGATTCTGAACAAATTTTGACCAACAGAATCTTCGCTGGAAAAACTTTTTGTGCTGCTATGGAGGGTAGGGGAAACTATCTAAATTACGAACGTAAAAACTCCTTCCTAATTTCCGGACTCCGGCAGAATCTACCTGGATACGGGAGAAAATCAAAATGTGAAAAAAAAAAATAAAAAAATATTTTTTAAAAATTTTATCAAAAAAATTAAAAAAAACCAAAGTCTAGCTTCAATTATTGTGCCAAAGAAGGGCCTTTCTTTCGTTTTTTGTTCTCCTAAGTTCACCACCTTCGTTCCTTCAGAAACTGTGAACTTGAAAATCGCCAGTCAGAAACTGACAAAAATCAACTAAAAAATTTTAAAAATAAAAACGAAAAACAAAATAAAAATTCCAAACCTTTTCAAATTTCCCATCGTTGCAGCCGTGGGATGAAGTCCGACACATGATGAGCAAAGTTAGACCAACCTGAAATATAAAATCTAAAATTAAAAAATAAAAATTAAACTTTTACCTACACAAGATTCTCGTCCTCCCTC